GTCTGCTGATTTCATGAGTTAAAAAATTACCTATCGGCACGACTATTTCAGATGGCACTTGTATTTAGTACAAAAGAATAATTTTCGAATCCCGATGAAAATGAATTTCAAGATTCCCAGTAGGAACTCAAGATTCAAATACGGAACTGGATTTTTTTTAAACAATTCACTTCAAGTAAGGCGATAATGCCACTAAGACGCAAAGTGCTACTTGGAGTGCAAGAGAATGAGAAGACTTTAGAAGAAACCGGAAACTCATTCCTAAGCAAAAAAAAAAAAAAAAAGAAAAGAAAAGAAAAAACAAGAGATAAACCTCTACTCCTGTTCAAAAGACCGGAGAGGGCGTGAACGAACCGACCTTGATGAGTAGACGAAGTGATTCCCGGAGAGTACGTCTACGAAACTATAAAGTTGGGATGCTGAAGGTACAGTCAATCAGTTTCTGAAAATACCTAGACTTCTCGAATTTAAGCACAGTACTAGACTGGCGTCGAGAGCTCATCAATTTACAGCTGAGCTGGCTGAGATGTAACCACAAGTACTATGCTCATATTACTTGTAAATATGTAAGATAGATTCTGGAGAAAAAATTGTCTAGCCCGACACAGTGAACCAACCTTCCGAGCAGCAGACCAAGCAATTGATTCAATATAATCTTTCTGTTGTTCATAATGACGGTCGTCTTTGAATATAGAATCCATAGGTTAGCAGTGAATATTTCGAAGACAGTAGGGAAGCGTAGTTCAGATTAGCAGTGGATATCCCGGTAAAGTAGCAGAGCGTAGTTCTTCCTTCTGTTCCTCTTCGCCTGACAAGCTGGCACTGGATATTCGGATAGAGTAAACAAAATGGCCGCCTTTATACACGACGGATTGAATATTCTACGTCTTCTGATTGGTTAACCTTCTATTGGTGGACTATAAAATGAGTCAAGTCATTTGGGCTAGCTCACTAGTACATACATATACACAAAAAAAACTGCAACACTTTCTACTTCATGTCAGTAGAAAACATTAGCCCGAGAAGGCGCAATAAATCACTCTCCTGGAGGTTAACATCATACATGCAGATGGAAGACAGAAAACGCTGTCTCAGATGACTGATAAAAAGCAGTTACGTTTTGGAGGCGTTACGATTAACAAGCCATTCCTTGCACCAGTTAACAGAAGATTATAGTTCATTTCTAAGATCAGCTACCAATTTGACCTTATCGAACTGATGAGATATATCATTAAGACAGAAGTAAATAGTTGTATCATCAGAACAGAACTGAGTTGAGAACTGATGCCAATTTAAAAAATATTGGATTGCAACAAAAGGCCATAGCGTTTTGTTTATAAGTTGCCTTTCACACGTGACCGAAATTTATGCGTAGTGTAGACCGAAATATTTCGTCTTAGTGTTTGCCTGTATATGGAAAAATTGCATCTCGAAGATGACATTTGAAATTGTCGAAATGACTTGGCCTGTCAATTCCATCTGGCAACAACTCAAATATAAGGATCGTATTATTCAAGGAATTGATAGTAAGTTAATGTCTCATTAAATCTTGTTAGCGAAGTGATTTCGTCATTAATCACATTAACATTGCTAATTAATTCTTTGTAGAAATTGCTTCTTTATATATATATATATATATATATATAAAGACATTTTTTATGTTTATATATATATATATGTCATTTTTTATGTTTATATATATATATATATATATATATATATATATATATATATATATTGTTACGAATTCTCAATATATAAAGATATGAACGCCAGGTTCCAATTCCAAAAAAAGAAAGAAAAAAAGGGTGGGTTCGTTCAGCTAGGAATACACAAGTACCGACGAACAACAAACACAAGATAAGCATTTGTAAATAAATTTTATCTTCCGTAATGTGAAATATAGAATTCTGGAATAATGTTTGTGTTCCGTTTCCCTTTGATTAAGTGGATTGCATCCAGGATGAAAGTAAGATGTTTTCTTTGCATCTATTTAGGTAAAATATTCCTTTATTCTTTACCCATTAAATAGTCAGATAGATTCAAGATATCCGGGATGATATTTCATTATTCCTCACACAAGTAATGGAGTTGGTTTGTGGGTGTATTTCTCACCCCTCATGATCGCATGACAAGAGTCTATTTTTCTCGTGACCGGAATAACCTCCTAAGAAAGTGAGTAAGAATCGGTCACCTACGCTCACGTAACATACATCACTAAGTAGAATTTTGGTTTTGATTTCCTTTAGTTTCCCGATGACCTCCAAAGACAATGATTCACTCAAACACAACAAAAAGCATTCTATTTTTAAAAGTGATCACAATTGATGAAAAGCAGATTTTTTTAAAAACAGTATGAAACAAATAATTTCTGTAGAAAACGAAATGATTTATTGTTAAACGCTCCAAAAGACGATCTGCATTCGAAGAAGGAGATGCCTTGTATCTAGTGAGATTGCAAAGGGCATTACGAGCTCCTTCTGCCAAATCAGATGTTGAATTCAGAAGAGTAATGTTTCTAATTGAAACGGGCAGCAATCAATGAAACGCATCCGGGATTAGTCAATTTGACAGGATATCGTCTTCCTTAACGGTAACGCCAGACTTCAAGTCTCTTTTCAAACCTCGAAGAAATTGGAACAGTTTTGCTGGGATGTTCTACTACACCCGCTGTACTCACCTTATTTCGATCCCTAAAAAATTCTCTTAAGGGTTAGACCTTCAATTCTCGGAAAGCCTGTAAAAACCACTAAAACCAGTTCATCACCCAGAATGCCTTACTGATTTTTTTATCCTCTTTAAGAAACACATAAACCATTAGTCTTCGCAGAGAAATCTCCGTCATTTGCACAATTCCCAATAGATCACTTTTCCTACCCACTCATGCCTATTTTTTAAATTTTTTCATGAGTTAATTTACTATATTAAGGTATGAGCTCCGTTTGTCAGTGACACTAGTTTCGACCTTTACATCTAGGATATGTCATGCTTCTACAAACAGTGGAAACATAAAATTTTCGTCAATCTTCCAAAGGCAATAAGAAAGTTTCACTCCCACAGCTTTTTCCTAAGAACTGTTACTTTGTGGAAGAACTCCCGTGTGGATGCTTCCCTAAGCACTACAATCTTAACCTCTTCAAGTCACGAATCAACCGTGAACTATCCTCATTATCTTCACTTCCTAGCAACTTCTCTTTCTTGCATATCACACACTTTATTCAGTTTCCCGCTACGTCGAGCGACACTCGAGCCTTGCATTGAATGAATTCTACAATAAAAATAATGAACGGTTTTCCTCACATGCACTAATTAAATACTCTTCTGTTATATACTATCCGTCTTAAGCTTAATACAGTTATTTACTGCTATTTGTTTTGAGTCATAAATAATTTCAGTTTTGAGAACCCAGATGTAATGACGAGTGTATTATCATAACTGACTGCTCCTTAGATATCCTGGTATGACGATAAACTACATCCGGCAGCAAGACCTCTGATCGGGAGATTGAAGTTTTTGAGGAGCGTGGAACCACCTTTTAATTGCTGTTGTTCTCAGGCCCACCCAGACCCGGGGTAGTAGCACGTGTTAGGGTCCCATCTATGGGCAAATAATGAACTCCCTAAACAAAAACTAAACACTGTGAATGTATAAAAATACATTTTTATAGCAAAATTACCAGCAATACATTTTTATAGTAAAATTACCAGCAATACATTTTATCTGTAGTTGAAGGCATACAGTTGCGTTCAAAATATTTATATTTCGGCATTAAATAACCCATAGATGTGTTGATATGCCGCTAAACAAACTCAATCAATCGGCCAACATAAAAAAACTCTTTCATGACATTATTCCATAAAATATTCTACAATGTCTTAAAGAAATCAAACTGGATTCCAAAATATAATTTCAACAAAACTTCAACATAAATCACACATATCAGCACTTCTAGTAGTTATGTCCATACAAACCCTAATATGCTCAAAAGCCGAGTATCATCTACCATGTACTCAATTATGAAAACAGAATAACATATTTTTGTTATTCCAAAGCTCCTAAGAAAATTAGATTTTGGCATTAAATGGCCCATAAGGAGTCGATATGACGTTAAAGAAACAAAAGAAACAATCCTTAGATATATCATAACAGGTGAAAAAATTGGTTACATACGACATCTTCAACAAAAAAGGCTGAAGATTGCAAGGATAAAACCCCACAATCGACCCCAAAACCTGAGCCTTATGAAACAAAGGTAATGTTGTACTTGCGATGGGATCCTTAGGGTTGATTTTTTTTTTGGGGGGGGGTGTTGTTTTTTTTTATTTTTACAGTGAAGTTCACTCTTTACAAGACCCGGAATCCACTCAAAGTAGAAGGTTACAGTTTTAAGAGGCCTAGTTTATGCGGATATGTGGGGAAGATAATGGTTAACCCTAGATTTGAACAGTTTAAAGTTGTAGTGATCAGGAAAATATCCGCTTGGGAGTCGGCTCCACAGAGCAGTGATTCGCGAGGAGCTGCTCGAGTGGAGCTTACATCTCACCAGTGGAATACGGAGGGAATGAGTGTAGTTCGCTACAATTCGCGTAACATGGTGGGACCTAGCCGTGAGCGTTCGAATTGATGGAACTAAGGAATGTAGTTCGTGTGAGTACTTTCTATTTAAATATGGATAGAGCAGAGAGAGGGATGCGACATTTTGTCTGAAAGAAACGGACTGTAAGGTGGAAAATAATTTGTTAACCACAAAGACGCGGAAACGCTTTTGGACTCTGTTGAGACTGGAAAGAGATGATTGTCTAGCAGCTGCAACCTTACAATAAAAATATTGTGCGAAAAGCGTCCTGCGCTCGTCAATAGGAAAAATGCTGTTTTTCTCCATGACAATAAAAGGTCGTATACAGCAAAGATAACACAGGAAAAAAGAATGAAACTCCGTTGGTCTGCTCTACATCCTCCGCCATATTTATCTGACCTTATACCAACTGATTATCAGGCTTACGGACACATCATGTTGAAACACCGGATCCCCCCTACGATCACCGAAGTTAAGCAACATCGAGCCTGTTCAGTATCTAGTTGGGTGATCTCTTGGGAATACCATTATTTCAAAATAACTCTTACAACATAAAATATTTTCTGCACTGAGTTGATAAGCCGTAGAAAACTAATCAATAAAAACGATTGATTATTATCTTTTTTGACTGCTGCAAAAGGGCTTTAATGGGGGAAGCTTTCTCTAATGAAAGCCATATTCAAGAGTTGGTCGATAACTTTTTCCGATCAAAACCTGCGGAATTTTTACTCAAAAAAGTATCAAAGAACTGCTTGATAAGTCATGTCTGGCGCGAAAATGCAAGAATATCATCATCAGCAACAAGAACAAGATCACTAAACAAGATAATATATGGAAATCTTATTAGTCATTTTCACAATTTAGGAAATATTTTATAAGCTTCAATAATATAGAAAAATTCCATTATTTAAATATTTTTAAAAAGCGAATTAAGACAACACGCTTACTGAGAGACATCTTTAATTTTAAAGATATCCAATAAAGATATAAGTAACATCACAACTACCACTACAACTAATAATAATAATAATAATAATAATAACGGATATTTCAAGAGATAAGCAATATGAATTATAAACAAAATTGCATGTGAGTGGTTGCGTAAAGGACACATTAAGTCGAAAATGGGATTACTATAAATATCAGGTTGAGTCATAAATAATTTCCGCTTTTGTTTAGCAAATGTATTCTTCAAAAACATAACGTAACATTAAATTGTATTCAATTATATATCACCATTATTTACAATGATTGTTGCCAGTTATCAGGCAGTTCTTCATAACTTATTGTGAAAAGTTCATTAGGTTTTGATGTGAAAAACCTTTCGACGAACTGTTTAAATCCGGGTTTTTACCAGAATAACGATTCTCCATTAAAATGCTTTGCAATAATCGAAAACAGTAATGATCTGTTTGCGCCAGGTCAGCTGACTAGGGCGCGTGTTGTAGAACAGGCCAACCGAGTTTCAATTTTTGTTTGATGTGTTATTCTTGCTGGTTACGGTTTTGCGTTGTCATGGAGAACAGCATTTTCCATTTGACGATCACAGGTCGAAACAGACATTTAGGGACACATTGCATCTACTGAACGTATAAATGTGCATTTAGTGCTCTATTACTTTTTAAGAACTCTAAATGAATAATACCCCCGACGAACCCACTACAAGCACAACAAACATTACCTTTATGCCATAGAGTCCAGATTTTGGGGACGGTTGTGCAGATTTATCCGTGCCAATCTAAAGCCATTGCGTTAAACATTGTCGTATGCAACCCACTTTTCATCACCTGTTACGATATATATAATGAACGTTTAGTTAGGATGGTACATGCATCATTACAGTTGGTTCCAAAAACGAAAGTTACTAATGACTCAACCTTACATTACTCGGTAAATGATCATTGTGTTTATTTCAGACAGGCGTTGCGTGCTTTTCAACTTATATATATATATATATATATATATATATATATATATATATAACTACCTGTCGTGGACGCAGCTCCAAGATCCAAGCATCATTTGATAACGGGCCATAAAGGGAAAAAAAACTACCTTCGGTTCTTTTTTGTTTGTTTCTCAAATTAAAAGCTCGACTGGAAATTGTATATGCTTTTGTAATATTTTCTCCCGATTCTCATTATTAGATTACTATCTTAATTTCTTTTCCAAATATTTTTCTTTAGCGATAAGGCTTTTGTTGACAATTTACTTGATAAAAGTCCAACGAATACCTACAAAAGTAATTATTTAAGGTACCTGCCTATTTGAATGGCCTGTCTGAATTTCGTTTTTCCCACTAGTTGCGTTTCTCTTTTGAATCGTCTACATTCTGAGATTAAATATTTTCATTATTAATTTTCCTTTCATCTTTATTGTTGATTTTTTTCACAACGTTATAAGACAATCTATTCTACAACAGCTAAAAGAAACCTTAAATAAAGAAGTAGTTTTCAATGAGACTTGAACTAATAGCCCAAGTCCTTGGAGCATATCACTTATATGTGGAGCCCCGTTTCAGAATTATAGAAAAATGCTAATAGATTTAGGTAGGAGGCACGGTAGAGTAATGGATAGTGGCTCGGAGTGAGGAAGCGGTAGAGCCGAGTTCGAATTCCAGTCGAATACATTACGTACTAATACCCTTGAGAAAGATATGAATCCTCCTTTCCCCCCCCCCTGCAGCTATGGGTAAATAGCAGGACATATCGAATTCTATAGCAGAAAGAAATGGCAACCTACTGCGGGAAAAGAACTGCCTCGTCAGTCATGGATCGAAAGATACATGATCACCTAAGTGTGTGTCACGTATGGCACATAACTGACTGACTGAAAACTCATCACATCGAAAGTAACTTAATTTTTACATTGTCAGGTTCCAAATATTTGAATCTTTGTATTCATATATATTAACCAACCAACGACGTCGTACGAGACGCGCAGTATTCTTTGAATTGGCAGACAGCAAAATATCTAAAAATGAAATTTTAGAGGCTCGTCTTCAGAATATATTCAACAATATTTTCTTCCTTAAAAGGAATATTTTAAAATATATATTAACCAAGAAGCTTGCGATTAATAAAACGAAATTTTAGATTCACCTGAAGTCTATAATTTTTATTATAAATATGATCAATTTTTGTTCACTAACTAGTCTTTCAGTGAACCTTTGACCAGGGTGTTTGTTCGATCGTTTGTCACACAAACGAGACTGAAGTTCTTAAAATTACTCACATATTTCGCATATTTATTCGAGTATACAAGATTACAAAAATTACGCTTAGCGATAACGACGACATACCGCTAACTGGTTTACATGCTGCAACAGTCCTTCTTGCTGTCGTGCGACTGACTACTGAAATTCATACACACTAGTCCTGTTAAACAAGTCTAGTAGACCTCTCACATACATATGCACACATATAGACGTATTTATTGTTTATGCTACACTGATGCAATTCATTCAGTTGTACTGTAAAAAAAAAGATACGCAAAACATTTTGTGTGAAGTTATTCATAAAGTATTGTTGTAATTCATATCTTTCAATTTGAAAGAAAAATAATACTTCAACAAATAAAAATTATTCAATTAATTTGCAGATTCATGTTTGAAGATTAATTTAATTCTTCGTTTATGGACGCATATTCCACTACATATATATTAACAATGAAAAACTCCTACTATGAATTACAATAATTTAACATTATTTCTATGATTGCTATGAAATAGTAAATGGACAATATAGATAAACGGAGACAAATTATTACTGCAGATATAGCTGTTAACCTTCTGTGGTCAAATCTGTAAAAGCGACGTACATGTTAGACAGATAAGTTGGATAAGAGATGCTAGTCCATGTCTCATCGGAAGCTAGTTCGTAATTATCGATTCATGATGTTTCATTTAATGGCCGTGGATTGGATTTTACGGTTGTAATGGTTAGATGTAACCGTAAGTTCTATGCTAATAGTTTCTCCTATCGCATTTTTCGCTTGTGGAACTTTCTTTCGGCTTCTTGCCTCCCAGTCAACTTGAATCTGCAAAAATTGTTAAGAAATGACGATCGTTATCTTCTCTCTTCTTAATTAATGTTATTATTTATTGGTTTTCCTCCTTAATAGTGTTTTTATCATGTTCTCTAACACTCAGTAACACTTTGCGTCTCACCTAAAATGCTATGATTATGATGATTTGACATATCCTTGATATAATTGATTCTATTTTCTTGAAAAAACACATATATATATATATAAAACTTCATTTTAAACAACATAATTGCATTTAAGGATTTTTGTTTGTTTTTTCCAAAGTTTTTCTTCATTCTGTCGGATTTATATCCATTTACATTTGCTTACATATATATATATATATACGAGTGGACAGAGTGATTCCAGGAGGGTCCGTCTACGAAACTTTGAAGTCCTGATACTGAAGGTAATATCAATCAGTTAAGTGACAAAACTTTTACTTATATTAATTCTCTCTCTCTCTCTCTCTCTCTCTCTCTCTCTCTCTCTCTCTCTCTCTCTCTCTCTCTCTCTCTCTCTCTCTCTCTGTATATATATATATATATATATATACCGGGTGTAACAGCAAAATTGTCCAAGTAGTTTAACAGCAAAATTGTCAAATTATTAGATTAAGCTTTGAACCGGTGTATCTTAGAAATGATTAAAGATATCTTACTGGAATTCTTCGAAGTTTTTATAACACTTTGAACAATAAGGATGTATTTAGTTCTAAGTTTAAATGATGATCCCTCTTGATGTTCTGACCTCCTGATCCAGTTTCTTCTCTACTGTTCCCACTTTTTTAAAACTTATTCACCGTTCTCTTCATGGTTCTTGAATGGACTTTGAAGATAGAATCCAGAATATGAATATTGGTACCATTACTAATTACCATTCGTAATTATCTTTTCTGCTTTTTGTACAGTTTTTGTTAAGGGGGAGTGGGGAACAAATTATCAAATGACGAAAATGCATCTCTATTTTCCTCCATTTTTACTTTTAGCGTGAAAACATTTCAAATTCCCAATTCACACACGAATCGTTTAGAAACACGCGTTGAGATGTCACCTTTCAAAATATGTATACGTCATAAATTTCAGTCACGTGTGCAAACGCCACCTACTGAAAAATGCTATGATCTTTTTTTTCCTAACGCAATAATGCCACTAAGACGCAAGGAGAGAGAGTAAAAGAGTATGAGATGTTAGCGAGAAGAAAGGAGAATAAATGAACGGGATTTCAGAAGATAAAAGATGATGTCACTTTTATATTTTTAAAGATCATAGTTGACCGGAAAGGAATCCCACAGGTAAGAAGTACCAGAGAAGAAACTATTAGAATAGAACTTACGGTTACATTTAGCTATTTCAACAATAAAATGATTGAACCTAGATGCCACTACGCTTAAAGAACCGCGCTTAAATTCATGAATTCGAGGCACTAAAGAGGAAAGCTCATCAGTACAACTGTCATGAAAATTTGTGGAGCAGCTGAAAAGTCAGTGGGTAGCGATAA